CCCCCCCCCCCCCCCCGACCCCGAACATCCTTAAATCCTAAAACCACCTAAGCCCCCAAAATCCTGCCAGAACCTTTCCGAACTCTCCAAGCCTCCAACTCCAAAACCAAGCTGTCGGGCTTGTCCATAAAGGTCACCAACCTCAGAGTTCTGGCTAAGGGTGGAGTGAACTGTTGGTATAGGTAGGACCTACCCTCTTCTTTTATTGTCATCATCATTGATGTTTTCAGAGAGTTTATGGATTCATGGGTAGGGGTTAAGGCTAATCGGGTTTGGGGGTTTAACGGTGTGGGGTGAAAAACCCATTCGCAAATTGTGTGTTCAATCACCAATGCATGCGATGCTCGGCCCCAAGGTCCAGCATGACACCTTGCAGTGCCTTGCAGGCGTGGACATCCACGACAGTTCCCGTCAGAACAAATGAGCGAGACCAGAACAAGGAGTGTTTCTGGAATTCGGGTGGAAGGCGCTGGTCATTGCAGATAGCTCCAAAACCTCTAGCAATTGGTCTCGGTGCTGAAGAAGAAATGCCACGTAGAGTGAACTGAGTCGTCATTCGCAATTCTCCTGTATTTCCTGGCTTGCTCTGTGCAAAAGTCTGTCCTGGGGAGGCTTGTCGCTAGACAATGGCACCTAGCGGCCACTCTTGAAGTTTAGGCCGGACATCAAAGGCGTCTCAATTAGAAATTCGAGATCATTCCTCACCGCCATCGTGGTTGTGAGCCTGGCAAATTTCGCTTGAGGACGTAAGGACACCTGGCTAGCTTCGACCCGCCCGCTGGTATGAGTTTGCATGTCCCGGACTTGGCTCGGGCTAATACGCATGCCTTGAATCCAGGAAGCCTCAACGCTGGACGACAAAACGCTTGACCTCCTTCGGCGAATGCTGTGGTCACACTTTGTGACGGCTAGCCACGATTTGCGACGGCTAATCCGGCCTGCCGAATTTCTACGATGACATGTTCGGTGTTCCCTTCAAGGAGTCTCCTCCGATGGCTGGCAAACCCTACCATAGTTGCAATGCGTCACGTTGTGTGTGTTGGAATGGTGGAATACAACAGACAATTCTGTCTCCGAAACGATGTTGCACATCTCGAAGATCCACTTTTTTTGGCGGAAGCTTTTCAAAGTTGCAGCGGAATTCACAGACAGGAACTTTTAGTCCCAGAAGTAGGCTGCCTCAAGACGAAAACTTTACCAAAGGCAGAATCGCTTTACCCTATACCCAAAGCCCTTCAGGCAGGCGGAAATCGTTTTTGTGGACGTGCCGAAGCCGAAGTTGCCGAAAAGGGCGAGAAGACCACGATGCACAAAGGCAAGGGCAAAAACAAGAAGTGAGCACGGTTTGAGCCCAAATGAAGGGATGCTTCTTTGTACGGAAAAGGCAGCGAAGTACTCCTCAAATTTGTTGCCGGTTTGTGTATTCCGAGAAACTTTTCATTGAATGCGAGACTGAGTCTCGCGCAGAGTTGGGCAAACAAGGATGCCTCTGTCTTCAAGCAAGCAAAAAACTTGCTTATTTGAGTGAGCGGGATCGCGTATTTTTGCTGTGCTTGTTGCACGCCATCCAGAGCCCATATATGGTTGAGTTTCTTGCCAGTGTCATATGAAGTGCTGGGCACTTTGACATTTGGAACCTGAGCATGTAGAGAACGACCATGTGCAGAGCTTGAATTTTCAAATTAGTGCTTGATTGAAAGAGAGCGCATGCACTTGGTGTATTCAGTCACCAGTGCATGCGATGCCCAGCTCAAGGTTCTTACACCCTCCGTGCGAAAGAGAAAAAAATACGTCATTTGACGACAGGTTGAATCTCGGCAGGGGTGGTTGGGGTTAAGGTGTAGATGTTAAGATTCTGGAGGGTTGGGGGTTTACGGGTTTAAGGTTTAGGAGTGTTACGGTTTCAGGGGTTTGGGATTCGTAGTGATTAAGGAATTTGGAGAGATTTGGGCGTTTTGTTGTTCAAGGTGTAGGAATTATGGGGGTCTAGAGTTTTTTGGCTTAGGGTTTCAGCGTGTACGGGGCTGTGCGTTAACAGGCTTTGGGCCTAGATGGTTTCAGGGCTTTAAGGGCCTGGGGTTTTACGGGTTTAGAAGTTTTGGGGGCTGGGGGGCTTAGGGTTCAGGAACACCAAAACATCCTAGAACCAAGCTTTTAGCCGTCGCCAAGTCTCCCCTTCCCGCCGCTGAGTTGGATTCTGACGGTGCCCTGCTGCATCATGGCAATGTAGGCCACTGCAGCTGCCACCACGCGCCTCTCCAGCATCCTGTCCTGCATTCGTCCTCCCTGAAACCTGAACCCCTGGACCCCTAACACTCCAACCTCTGAAGGCTAAACCCTAGACGCCATACCCTGAACCCCAAAACCCCAACCTGTAAGGCCTAGATCCGAGATCTTACGCACTTGAGGGTGCAACTTAGTAACTGCCCTGAAAGCCCGAGAGGTATCCAAACGCTATACAGCTCGAAATCTGAATCAGTCGCAATGCTCTTTCCGTTGCTGCCTTTGCCCTCGCAGTTTGAATGCACTGGAAACCTACCCAAGACTCACAGAGAAACTTGTTGAAGATCACCAATCACCCGCGTTTGACGGTTTGAAGTGCTCTGCTCCTGCAGGCCAACTGCCAAGTGCTGCTCCTTGCCGCCCTGCATGAGTTGAAGGGGGACCCGGCTGTAGCGCAGGAGCACGTGCTGGCGAAAGTAGAGGTAAAAGAGGAAGCAGGGAATGAGGATGCCGTAGCATATGGCACAAGGCCAGAAAACTGAAGATACCTCAGCAGTACAAAACAGATTGTGCAGACGTAAACCACTGGCCACTTCAATTCAACTAAGTACTGCATTTCACAGATCCACGCTTGGAAGCTGCCCACCCCAACAAAAGGAAAGTCAACCGTGCCTGTTCCGCAGACCGTCCGGTTGCATGCTGGGGCACCCCCCCGGTCGTGCTAAAAACTTCATGGGAGAAGTTGCTTGGTCTCAGGATGGGTCGGGCTACTTGACTGCCATGGCCTCTCCGCCAGCCACAACACACCCTCAACCTTCAACCGTAAAGTCAACCCGACGCTAAACCATAAACTAAACTACCAACCCTGAGCTCTACACCCTAAGCCGTCACCCCTAAACCCTCGGCTCTAAGCCCTGCATTTGTGTACGTCTGTCTCGCTCACCTCCTTCCAGGGCCCCCGCAAGCTTCTGCTCCGGCGAGGAGTCGGCCCAGGCCACATCTTGCTCGCAACGAAGATCCGGCAGCTGCCTGAAAAAAACGAATGTGAGGTAAGGGCAGGTGTTGGATAACCCCGGGCTCGGGTTTAAGTTCAGGGTTCAGGCATTTGAGTTTGCTTTAGCAATACGGTTGACGGGAATGGAGCTGAGTTCATTTGAAAGAATCCCGTCGCTGAAGCAGGCTCAGGGTGCTGGGATCCTGCTTCCCCGAAATAAGCCAGTATGAGCATGCCAGTGTATGGCCCTGCACGCAGGACTTGGCTCGGAGTTTCTGGTGCAGGCCCCATCAAAATGCAACCCACGTGGTGGAGGCAGAGGGTTCTGCACGGTGACTGACTTCGGGCAGACTAGCGGCTGATACCTGACATCGTGCCACCAAACGGGGCTTGACTTGAGAGTGAGGGTTTGAGCCATGAGAACGAATTCCTTGCACAGGTGCCTACCTCGGGAAGCCCGAACCAATTGTTCTAGGGTTCCTCTATTTAGATAGGTGAGGAAGAACAACTGAAAAAGGATCCTGGGTTCCCAAGATTTACCGCAAGCAGGTTTTTTGTACAGGAATCTCCTCTTGCTGAAAATGCCTGTCCAATCTTGGGTGCGCATCTCTTGCCTTTCTCTTCGAGAATCCTAGGCCACAAGTTGAAGACGCTTGAAACAAAGTGACAGTGGGAATGCCCAGACGGGAATGCTATGGACTGCTACCTGTGAAAATCTCACGGCAGGTGGGAAAACACGGAGAACGGACAGGGAGAACTGCGTTGTCCATACACCATGGCAACGCATATACTGACCCGCACCCTGACACCACCTGGGTCTGGTTGTGACCCCCTAAACCCTAAAACTTGAACCCTAAGCCCCAAACCCTGAGCACAAAACCCAGGGCTGCATTGGCAACGTCGTCCTGCCTCAGAAAAGCGAAGTTCTCGAGTTGCTCGCCTCCTGCGGATTTGGAGCACATCCAAGTCCCAAAGTGACTGCGCAGTGACAATTGCACCCCCTTTTTTATTGGAAACCTTTTTGGGCGGGCAACCTTTAAACCTAGAAAAACACAGCCATAAGGGAACTGCAGGCCCCAGGTTCTCCTCATGAGCTTTTCGGGAAATACATCCTTCAACAGAACACGAGAGCTCCTCTCATTCGTGTGTGGGGCCCTCACGCTGGTCACGCCTGTCCCAAGACCCAATCAGGGTCCGCGTACAAACGGGGACTCGCCGTAGATGTTGGACTGCAGCCATGACCGCCCTCAAAACAACCCTAAACAATCGAATTCTATCAGACCTTGACCTTAGTTTCTAGAAACCCTAAACCCTCCCCTAAACCGCAAACCCCTATGTCCAGACCTTCACAATCCATGAGAAGCCTAGAAGCCTGCAGGTCCTGCATCAAAACGCTGGCAGCTGCGTAAGGCGAAGCACTTTGACGCTCCGCCGATGAAAAAGATCGGTAGGACCTTCAACGCTGCGCTGACTCCTTCCACGGCTGATTCTGTCTCGCAAATCTCTAGGGCCTAGGCTTTAGGGCGTTATAACGATTTGGGGGTATAGGGAACACAGCTTAGGGCTTAGGGTCGTAGAGCTTAGGGTGTAGAGCTTTAGGGATGCGGTGATAACATGCCCTGAACTCTTCTGAGACTATATCATGAGTTCTTGTGGACCCCGAAACAGATTTTGAAGGTAAAATCTGCACTGAAAACCCTAAACCCTAGACCTGTTAACCCTCAACCCTCGACCTTCCCGGAAGTGCGCCCGGTGAAGGTCAGATTCTTCGATCCATGGCATTGCAAGCCGTAGAGTTTCGGCGTTAAGGGTTTAGGCTTTTGGGTGTTGGGTTTAGGGATGCTGGCTCCTGCTCCACGTCTGAAGACCTCAAGGCCCGAGCTGCAAAGCAGCAGCGCCAGGGGTAGCACTGGCGTGAGGATGGCCAGGGCCAGCCGAACCGGGGGGCCTCCAAGGTAGCATTGCAAGTAGAGCAGCTCCTGCAGATTCTACAGCTGTTTCGTCTGTACCAGTAGGAAACCATGTACTCCTCCAATTCTTATCAGCTGTTACTAAGTGGGGTCAGAACCCATGTACACTGCAGATGATGCAGGCCATTGGCCTCTCTGCATCTCCTGCCTCCGAATCTTTCTGTTCCCAAATAGAAAACGCTGGCAAAAAAAATGCCTCCTTGCACCGCCCCACCGAAACCCAATTCTTTAACAATGGACGTACCAATAAAACTCAAAGCCGAAACCCATTCTTAAAGAGACCGCCGACCTCGACCTGGGGACCCACAATTTTGGTGCTACAATTACAACACCATGCCTAGTTTAATCTGAGAGCCCTAAAGCTTTTAAATTAAAACTCGCAAGGTATAGCTCCTGCAAGTTCCCAATGGCAAACTGCAAGGTCTGCATGTAGGGCAGCTCCCAGAGTCTGCTTGAAGAGGCCTCGTCCCCTTCCTTCTCTTTGTTGCTGGCCAACACGGCCAAGACGACCCACAGCCTTCTTTCTCCAAGAACGAGAGGTCCAAAACCATTTGCACACTTGTTTAAAGCACACAAAAAAGAACCCAATAAACTTAGGAACATTTCCTCTTAGCCTGAGAAAGCAGCTGACACATCTGGAGTAAGACGGGCGCCTGGCTTTTGAGGAGCTTCTGCTGCAAGGAGCCAACAACTCCCTCAGCGAATACAGCCTGGCGCAACGTCTGCAACTGCACTTCAAGCCACTGCCCGGGATGCCAGGAATACACCAAGTAGGCGACGGCCACTACGCCGGCCCACAACAAGGCCACGATCGTGACGGAGGCCATGGCGTGGATCAGCCAGGTGGGTAGATGCTGGTGTTTGTTGGAGCACGGGAGACAAGAGTTGCCTGCGGCGAAGAATGTCTTGTGGCAGCCCGTGCACAGTGGGCCATCGTAGCCTCAGAAGGAACTCTAAGTTTCAACTAAGCCGTGCTGTTGACCAAGATCTCAGCACAATTTCAACACTTCAGGACACTGCTTATGTGTGGCTAGCCAAAACATAGCCTTGTATTGACAATGAGCTTTGCGATCCAAGGCTCCACTTCCACACCCAAGGCCCGAGGCAGCCCCACCATCGCCAGGGCAACGCTTTTTGTCCAGGCACTGGAACGCTTCGTGAGCCTTCAGTTCCAAACGAGCGTAGCCCAGGAGAGGTTGCGCGGTGCTCGCATTGCTGGAGTAGCCAGAGCAATTCAAATGGCGGTCCTCACGTGCCCATGACGGCAAGACCACGAAACTCCTTTAGTGTGTCGTCATGCCTGAAAAAGCACGAAACCATTGGACATGGAAGCAATGCAGGCTTGCAGGCAAGCCTCACGACATGGCACGCATGTGTCGTTAATCAAAGCTTGGTGGTCGGGACATCCACAAAGCCACTCACCTCTCACCTGGTGCAAGGACCCGACCTGACAGTGGCAGTCGTGCACGCTAGTGGACCGTTTGGAGCTGTTGGTGTGCGCCGGGCAGTGGCTGCAACTCGACGAGTTTAGCTCGTCGCTGAAAAAATCCTCGGGACATTCCTTGCAGTCGGTCCCCGCACCGAACCAGCCTTGTAGACAGGTGCACCACTCATGCGGCAGGATTTTGGATGGCGTCACTTCAAGTGTGGTGCTGCTCCTGTCGATGTCAACGCAGTTGTAGCCTTCCGATTCACGCAGGAATACTCGTCGCTCGCTCAGATTCACTGTACCTTTTGCAACCAACTTGCGTATCTCGTCCAAGGAAGGGTTGTCCAACCAAGTGTGCTTCAGATCAATCAACACTTTTGCACGGCAAGCTTTGGTTAGCACATTCTCCGCCAGCTGGAGACGCTGCTTGTTCGAGGACAAGCCTATTGAGTGCAACGCGTGTGGGATGGCTGCACCCGGACAAGTCCAAGACCTCCAGCGAATTTGAAAGAGGACTGCGGATGTCATTGACGATCCCAGCAACACCCACACTGAAAGCCGGCAGCGGGTCAGTGGTTGGAAGGTCTCCGGTTAGCCCGGACTCTCTGGCCAGAACACTGCCCAAATGCTCGCAGAATGCGAGCGGAAGTAGCAGATCGGACACTGGCCCCTGCAATTGGCAACCCGACACCTGCATGGCAATGAAACTTCGCCCTGCAAGCCTCATTAGTCTTCACGAAAGCACACACGGCATAGCGAAAAAAGTGCTAGACTCAACAAAGCACCTCCAGTGTTGTCAATGCAGGAAGTAACTGAAGCGACGCCTCTTCCGGGTGCAAGAACTGCGGTAGCTGCAGCAAATCTACCCGATCTTCACCAGCAGGGATGAACCGAACTTCACTGCCCTTAGCAACAAGCGTCGGGAGGTGTAGCCGTTTCAAAAAATCTGCAACGTGGATCCAGGTCGTTACCGCACTGCTTCGCAAGTGTAATGCTTGACGGCTACTGAGTTCGGGTCCGAAAGCCTCAAAGTGCGCAGCTCCTTGCAGCAGCCACGCCAGCGACGTGTTAACCTTCCTTCCACTTTAGTCTTAGAGAGGTCAACAACTTGCACCTTTTCCCAGTGTAAGATGCCGTCCATACTTCCGGTCACCTGGGTATCTTCAAGGTAGATCTCCCGAAGAGACAAGGCATGTTGAAACACCCAGATGTTTCCAACGACTGAAGTGGAGGAAAGCTCCAGAACCTCAAAAGCATTGTCCCCCGAGACCAAATCTTCGATGTCACCGAAGATCCCAGTCGACGCAAGCTTCAATGTGTGAAGGGACATCTTGTGAGCAAAGACTGTGACATCTCCAGTGATGTTGGTGAAGGACATGTCCACTTCAGTCAGGTGCGGAAGGTCCTCAAAGCTTCGGATATCCCCCTTCACTTGTGTGCTTTGACAACGAACAAATTTGAGTCGCTTGTTGCGGCTGAAAACGTCGATGTCGCCAGAGATGCGGGTTGCTGCGAGATTCACGTCCAGCAGCTGAGCGAGAGAGCCGATAAAGGAAATATTTCCAACCACGTCTGTGTGATCCAACTCTAGTTTCCACAGGTTGCGGAAGGCAGTCACTTTGGAAGAATTGAAAATGTCCACATTTCCCGAAACCTTGCTTGAGGCAAGCGACAATTGCTCCAACCTTGAGGTGGAAGTAAGTGCCTCAATGTCGCCCTGCACATTGGTCGATCTAAGGAAGAGCTCTGAGAGACTCGTGGCACCCTGCAAGGCGACGATATCTCCACACACTTTCGTGGAAAGCAAGCGCAGCTTTTGCAAGTGCCGCGTGGTGTTAAAGACTCTGATATCGCCTTCAACCTCTGTGAGGCTCAATGCTAGATTTTCCAAAAGCTTGGTCTTCTCAAAGGCCTGGATGTTACCTGAAATGCGAGTTGCTTCGAGAATCAGCTCCTCCAACTTGTGAGTGGCCTCGAAGGCCCTTATGTCACCATAAACTTGTGTGCCTTGGAGATCAAGAGCGCGCAGCCGTGCCGATCCCTGGAAGGCTTGGATGTCGCCATAGACCTGTGTTCCTCGGAGATTTAATTCTTTCATGCCCGGCAATGCCTCAAAGACTTGGATGTCACCACCAATTGCAGAAGCGTCGTCAAGATACAAGTACTTGAGGAATTTGCACTCGTTGAAAACCTTGATGTCGCCAGAAACTTTGGTCTTGCTGAGTTGCACCTCCTGAAGCAACTCCAACTTGTGAGTGGCCTCGAAGGCCCTAATGTCACCATACACTTGCGTGCTTGCGAGTACGAGAGTGTGCAGCTGTGCCGATCCCTGGAAGGCTTGGATGTCGCCATAGACTTGTGTTCCTTGGAGATTTAATGCTTTTATGCCCGGCAATGCCTCAAAGACTTGGATGTCACCACCAATTGCAGAAGCGTCGTCAAGATACAAGTACTTGAGGAGTTTGCACTCGTTGAAAACCTTGATGTCGCCAGAAACTTTGGTCTTGCTGAGTTGCACCTCCTGGAGCAACTCCATGTTGGCAAGCACATGGATGTCACCCTCGATTGCAGCAATCCCTTCAAGAGAAAGGAGAGAAAACTGCTCAAGCCACTTCATGTTAGCAAGCGCCCGAATGTCACCCCGCATTGCTTCAGCTCTCAGATTCAAGAACTTGAGGCGTGTGCACTCTTCCAAAACCTTGAGGTCGCCCCAGACATCCATTGATGAAATGTCCACTTCGATCAGGTTGCCGAAGTGCCACAATTCTGGTAGCTGTCCATGAGCATCCTACCAGGGTTTGCTTCAAATTTGGCGCCTTGAGCCTATGACAAAAGTCCTCTCCGAGCACAATGGACACCACACAGCTGCCATGGCAAGTGATGCCAGGCCAGCCACAGTAATCTCCTGTCTGGTAGTCTTTTCCAGGGGGTTACATCCAAAAAATGCGGACTTTGTACAAGAGTGACAGCGGATTCAGTTGCTACCCCACCAGCGCTAGACTCAAGTTTCGCCTTCCCAGCGCAACAGGCACAAAAGGAGGCAGGAAGGAACACTGCGACTTCTCAGAACGCTGACGACCCCAGATCCTAGAGCACGCGCCCCGAGCTCCTTGAAGCCAGTGCTTTGGAACACCCAGGCCACTGAGAACACGAAATGCCTCATGCTCGTCGTTGGAGCCTTAGGTTGATAGTGGGACACCAAATTGATAGCTTGGGTATGTGGTTTGAGGTTTGACTTTCGGAGCTCAAGGTTTAGGGTTTAGTGTCTAGGGGGCAAAATGTAATTTCCCATGGCGTTGGAGAGGTCTACATGCCGTCATGCAGCAGTTTGGCCTGCCCGAAGCTCCTGATGCGGTGCTTGCTTACTGGTGACCCAACTCTCTTACTCTGGGATCCATCCAGGTCAACAAAAAAACTGGTCCCACAACGAAAACAACGGAAGTACTGTAGCTGCAGGCACATGGACATACAACTTGGGAGTGTCCGAAAACAGGATGCCCGTTTTCAGGGGTCTCTTAAACGAGGAGTCCTATCATTCAGCGCCTGTCTGAGGAGTTCTCAGGTAGAGGAGGGAGGGGGGAGGAAGAAACTGCAGTGGCAGTCCTGCCAGCGCGCCGTGGAGCTGCTTTTCCTGCTCGCGGCCGCGGCCCCGGCCCTGCTTTCAGAGAGTTTAAGGGCGACTGCGCACACCCTAAACTTCTACAACCCTCAACTGCAAGAACGTGACCTCCTAAAATCCCAAATCCCTAAACTTCTAATATCCTAAACCCCCATTCTCCTAAACTTTGCACAAGCCCTTCCGGGAGAACATACCCATTACCTGCCTTGGGCGCCCCTTTCCGGGTTTAGAGTTTAAGGGTTTTGGCCCTGGCCTGCTGGACCCATTCGCTTTCGGGTTCGTGCTTTAGGCTTTCGGGTTGAGGGTTCGAGGTTTGTGGTTTAGGGGTTCAGGGCTCCCCAACAAGCGATACACCTCAGAGATGTCCACACAACCGTGCTTGATCAAGTAGGAATTTCTCACATGGTCTCCCAGAAAGGTAAAATCCCTATTCGAAGGATGCTAGTCAGGGGATGCGGAATAATGCTGTCACCCAATGTGTGCACCTCAACGAAGTGTTTTTCCGGCTGTATGATTTTTCGGGGTCACAACGTTTTCTTAAAGCTGCTGGTTGCAGTTTGCGTAATGAAAAGTTCAAATCTGGATTTCTCCCTACCAGTATGCTTCATGACCCGGCCCGCTACTCGTTTCAGGGTCTCCCCAAACTTCACTTCAAAGTTCGTTGGGGAGGTGGGTGCGTAAACCCATCAAGGAAACCCCCTACAAGAAATGACAAAAAAACCTCGCCATCGCTGTACCCGATACCACCGATCACATCCACAGCTCCCAGGTCTCGTTTTAAACCCCTGGCGCTCCTGAAGCGCCGAAGCCGCAGCCTCGTCGTTGTTGGTGCTGAGAATGCCGAGGTGAGTCGCCGGCCGCTCCGCGCCGCAGCGTGCGAGACACAGCCACAGGATGAACTGTGGCCATGCCCATGCCATCGAGATGGCCGCCTACATATGGAAAGGTTTTTTCAAAGCAACAGTGGCATAGCCGCAGGTGCGGCAAGGCTACGCATTTGAGCCAGAGCTCTGCATGAAAGTCCATGAGAGCGTGGCGTCTGGATGGGAAGAGGAGGAACCCGCATGGCTTTGTGGGGCTTGCGTGGGCAACTCATGACACCTGTGGGATTGGCAGGATCTTAGGCGCTGCCCGTAACCGTCCATGCCGTCTGTGGAAAGCACACTAGGCACTGCCGAGCAACAAGTTCGCCAAAGCTAGAACTTGCCGGCCGAGAAAGAGAGAACTGACTTGACGTTTCCAGCTACCTCAGGCAATTTGGACCCAAGGTAACCCAAACCCCAGTATCAGATTCCAAGAGTTGGCCAGTAAAAGCCACGAAGATCCGGCATTACGATTTGTTAGGGCCAAGAGTGGGCGAGAAAACACACAGCTCGGCAGCAGCTCAGCCTGCACAACAAACCCTAAATTCAAAACCGTATAAACCCTATAAACACTCAGCCCAAACCCTAAACCCTCCCCAGAGGAGATGAAGAGCTTGGCAGCAGTGCAGGTAATCCAGCTGGTACCCTTTTGTCCTTTCTCTTCTTGAGTTCCCTTAGTAAATGCCTGCCAACTCCCAAGATCAAATCTCCAAGATTGCATTATATGGTATCCTTAAGGCAGGGAGGCTCAAGGGGGGAAGCATATAACCCAATAACCCTTGATCCTCGCGGGTGATCCTAAAGTCTGAGACGAGTGACTTCCGGACTCTTGTCTTGCTCCTGAGGTCTCCGCCACGTGTCAGCTGCTTTCAGAGACTCGCTGAGCGATCTGCTCTTCTCCATGGTTCAGGGGTTTGGGGTTTAGACGGGTGTTTACGAACTCCGGGAGAAGTGATACGGATTTTGGGGCTTCCAGATGTCGAACATGTAGTAATGCAGTTTGGTATGAAGAACGGTGTGTGCCATGCGGTCTGCAACCCTGCAGGCCAATGTCATGCAAACACTGGTATCTTGAGTTTGTACAGCCATTCGCTGAACCCCAAACCCTAAACTCCTAAGAATCCCTAAACCCCAAGCCCCAAACGCTAAAGAAGGTCAAACCAAAACACTGCATTTTACCGTGCAATCTAAAGCTCAAAATTACACATACAACACAATGCAAAACATACACGCTCAAATGCACAACAAAGCAAGTCTCAGCATTAACGGCGCACCTTCTAACAAAGCAGCCTGAGGATGAAGTGTTTGGTGTTTGGGAATGGATAGATTTTAGGGTGGAAAGTTTTTCAAAGCTGCGAAAAAGGCATACTATGCTCGGAGCTGCAACGACGATTGTGTGGAATGGCTTCAGCATAACCAAACTTTGCAAGCTGGAGCGATGCTGTCTAAGCATCAAGATACTGCATACTGCTCTCAGGATGCCAGATTTAAGGCCTTCGGCAGAGGCTGACATCCTTTGCAATGCGATCGATGTGGAGCCCGTGGCACCAGTGCGGCATCCTAGGTCTAAGGAAGAAACCCGAAAGCCATGGCCGACCCCTCGGGCCCAGGCGTTCCGCTCTATGCATGGCTATTTTGGGGGCCATTCTGCTTTGTCTGTGGCTTTTGGGCCGAGGCTGCAGGATTCGGAATGACGCATGGCCCTTGGCGATTCAGAATGTAGCACCGCTGCGCCGCGATTTTCTCATGCTCCCGGGACTTCATAAAATTAAGTATGTGTCATACGTTGCTTGGTGCTTCGAACCTGGGTTGCGTGGCAGAAACGGGGCAGCGGGTTCCCCCTGCTCACAATCTTTGGTATCGATTCCGATAGAATTGCATGGCAAGAGTCTTACCCAAACAAATCGAATCCATCATGGCTGATTGCTTGGTCCGTTTTTCCTCAGCATCTCGCAATGCCGTGCGGCAGGCGGGTTCCAGCAGAAGACACGACCTGGTACACGCTCGCAGTGATTTGGGATTGGGGGTCTACAGTTCAATCCTTTCGGACTTCGTCAGTGAACTGAGAAGACGGCTATGACCTGTGAGTCCGGAGATGTACCACACATGGCAAGATTCAACAACTCCAAACCCCGCAGATCTGCGCCCAAGGCCTTGAAGCCCAGGCCCCATGCCCTCAAACAATAAAGCTTTCAACAAGGCCCTGCAAACAGGGCTTCTGGGTGCAGGGCTTGTTACATGGGCTTTTGATAAAGCTTCTGTCGTTGCTGATGCTCGCTACTGGGTACTTTTTGCTGCCGCATACATCCTGCTTGCGATGTACTCACCTCCAAGCAGGTGGCGACGCACATGCTATCACCCATCCCTCCACAGCGTTATAGTTGTCTTCCATACCGTGTTGCAGGGTTTGGTGTCTCTTAAGATCTGTGAATATCTGCAGGTTAGGCGGTTAAGGAGCCTATCAAAGCAATTGTTGAACAATCAATAATAACGGCCCTTGCAGGAAGCATACTTACGAAGAGCTGATGGTCCAAGCTGACGAATACTCAAAACACATGGCCATGGTTCCTGACATGTGTACAAAGAGAACAAAACGTGAGCGTTTGGGTTATCGTTCTGGTGCTCGCAGACTCAAACTGTTTCACTAATCTTTTCTCTGTGATTTTGCTCTTCGTTATAGTTTCGTTTTACGATTGGGCATTCGCACACTGCACTATGGGACCGCTCTTCTGGAAATCGTGAGGCGCGGCGAATTTATTGTGCTGCAATGTGACGTGATGCGATGCTTTCCGAATCAATCAAAAGTCCAATCCAATCCATCCTGAAATGCTGCATTGCGTCTGCCGCCACTGAGGAGACGACCCCAGCGGGCATTGTCTCCGTCCGAACCTGCGCAGGGCCAACTTCAGAGCGACATTTGGCCACTTAGACTGGCTCGAACAGAAATGCTCAAAGGTGATGGATTCTCGGAAAGCCTTTTGGCCAATTAGAAAATGGTAAGTGCAGTTCTTCAAGCAGTCATCAATTTGGGGCCCCTGTGTGACTGGCTTGAGCTAGCTCAAAGACAAGCTCAGTAGAAGCAGCCTGCCTCACGGATGGCCGCCTGAGAAAGCCACCTGACACTCTTCACCGGCGACATCCGAATTCAAGTGGTGCGGAGGCTGGTAACCCTGGATCAGGAACAGAAGATGATGGTGAAAGAAAAAAACACACGAAGACCGTGAGATGAAAACCCAGCCTGATGTGATAGTGCAAAGTGTTTCTCTTGTGCATTGTCTGCCCCTTTGTTTTCTGTGGTACTTCTTGATATTCCTATTCAACTTCATGCTGTGATTGGTTCACTTCCAATTATGCACATTCCTACTTCTGTTGTTTTTGGTATCAAATATGGATTCAACACAGTGATAGCTGCAGAGTGCATGTCCTGTTATTACCAGTCCTGAGTCTTTGCCATGCGCGATGTAAACCTCTGACTGCAACTTGCTGTTTAACGTCTCCGTAGCCTGGATGAGACTGCAATTGGACTGACCCCACCCCCTGACCCCGAGAAATGGCTTTGGTACTTCAGTCTGCAAATCACCCTGGCAGCATGCAAACTAAGGAAACCGTACTGAGTCTAAACCGCTGGGCACAAGAACATCAGCCCGACACCAGAAGTCGTTGTGGCCAGCAGACGCTCCGTCCCCCCTGGCACTAGGACCGTGTCGAGGGTAACATGCCCAAATTCTGCCGAGCATACCGTCAACACATTCCCAAAACCTTGCAAAACACTTCCAACACCCATGTGGTGGAAGGCGAACAAGTCGGCAAAGCGGGACAGGTGGGGAGCCAGTGAGGCTGGGGAGGCTTTGCAATGACTGGAGTGATGGGGGGGGGTTTGTCGTATTTATCCCCCTCCGACAGCGCTTTATAGTGTTTTTGTACATCTGCATGACCAAACATCTGAGCGCGTGCCTCCACAGCACGAAGCTTGTCGTGGATGGCCTCCAATCGCCAAACACTCGGTTCGCGCGGAAGACTTTTCCGACCATCATGCGTGCTACAGCAAGAAGCAGACCGGTGTGCCTGCGTTGTTTTCTTACGTTACTCTGTTCTTGCTTCTTGCATGCCTGATTATTGCCGCTTCCCTTGTCTCTTGCTTGCTGTCCGTCCGTTTTTTTGCTTTCCTTTGGCCTTCCTTTGTGGTTTCTTTGTTAGGGATTAAGTCGAACAGCCATCCCCAAAACGATATCCCACCCTATCGTAGGGCTCATGCCACGTCAGGATGCAAGCTGTCCAACTGAGGAGTTCGAGAGGCCAATTCGAACGAATCATGACTCCTGGAGTCGAAACACCGCTCTGGCCTCTTCCAGCTCTCTCATCTGCACCGGAAGCGGTAACAGCGCTTGCTCCTGGCCGTCGAGATTTCTGACATCTGTGCCCGAAGCAGGAAGGAAACTGGAATCACGTGCTGTCCAGAAAGGCCACCCGCTGGAAGAGCTGGCCGATGGCCTCGCGGATCAAACAGAAATACAGAGGCGGCCACGAGTCCTATACAGTCCCTCTCTCCCTATCGCTTTCGAACTCTGGCTTGCACTCAAACAATCAAGGAGGTGTTGGAGACACACTGTCGCCATGTTTTGGAAATTTACGTATTAACAGCAATGGTAGATGAGGTCGATGAGAGACGCGTTTGTGAGCAATTGGGAGTCCCAATGCGGACACCTCGCCAGCACCAACTGCTCTACACACATGACGCGACACGACACGACCAACGACTTCCGAAATTTCACCGCACATCACCTGTCAAAACATGACACTCGACAGGAAGCATGACACTAGACACGATCGAGAGACGACTAAGTAGACCCCGAGCGAATCCTGACACAAGATACGAAATGCGGCGGGAATCGGCAACAGCTCGGAACCTTCTACGGCTTCTACGGCAGCTCTGCAAATCGATCCTGCAGCTTCTGCGACATGCCGGCCTGCCGACGGTCAACATCACAAGCCCTGGAAGGTGGGTGATTTTTCTTTGCGGGGTTCGAAAAATCGTTCACGCCGTGTTTGTGCTGGCTCGTTGAAGCTTTCGGAGGGGAGCAAGAGCTCGAAGCACCCAAAGACCCGAGGGAGGGAGGCTAAATCTTCTGCAAAGTCATTGTTGTTGTCACCCCTTCGAAAATCATTTCTTGGGCGTGCTGCGGCGGATGCGGTCGGACAGCTGCAAACGGCCGGGCACGGCAGGGATGGGGCATGGGAGGACGCTTTGGGAACCCGCGCTCGCGCGCCTGGCACGATGTGGAGAGAGCATAATCTCACTGCCACGGCGTGCGGAATGTAACGATCGAGCGGGACATGATAACGCCGTGCAGGGGCCAGCTTCCCTTCCTGTATGCAACAAAAGTGGTTCTTCAGGACCAGAGTGTGCGACAGGGTGGCAGTGTACAGGCGAGGCAAAGCAACAACAAACATGCAACTTTACACACCCCGGCTTCGCCTGCTGAAGCTCGTAGATTTGCGCTTACTGCGCACTCATCGCCGTCATCGCGCCCTTACGGTAGATTTTCTTACATGGTGCCAGTGCACGACCGTGCGCAAACCTGCCCGCCTCGTAGTGCATGGTGGCAGGGTCGCAGACAGAGCTATGGTGTCGAAAAGCCACTTGATGTGAAAGAAGCAGCGGAAGATATACATGCGAGTATGTCACCATGACATTGTTGTAAGTCCGTATGATGACGATGACGTCCGACGACGACAGTGTCGACGATGACCAGAGCCACTATGACGACGACCACTACGTGGCAATGTGGCATGTCTCCGTATCGGTGGTGGGTATTCAGATGTCGCCGACTGACTCTCTCAGCACACGAGCTTTGGCTCTTTGTAGCTTAGATACCTCAAGTGCCTAGTATATCTTGTTCCAAATACGAGTATCATGGCTGGAGTTGCTCAGATCGAACTACAACCTGATCATCGCACAGAGCGACTACGTGACTTGAACGCTCACACACTCACGGCGCCACACTCGACCACTAAAACCACTAAGCTATCCGTGCCGGAGCCAGTTGCAAACTGCAAGACATGGGATGAAGACAACTGGGGCATACCGGCATACCTCGTGGACTCGTGGAGCAATCTATGTCGGGGGTTTGGAATCGCGCAAATTTTTGAGCGCCACTGCAGGCATTGAAGATGACCTCGCTGGCGCAGCTGCGACTAGTCAAGTCGCCAATTCCGCCGTCGAGCCATTCGGATCCTTTTTCGACTTTATTGCACTGCGACAGCCGTTCGCGATAGTTGTAGCCATTAATGCATCGTGCTGATATGAAGCACAGGATGCCTTTGCACAGTGGAGCGAAAAGATCCGGCATTACCTACGAACAAAACAAATACTGCCTCAACCTGCGAAATAATGCAAGACGACACTAGTGACGGTTCGCAGGTGTCTTCTTCTGGGTTTGCAGTACAGTATCCAAGGAGAACGAAGTCTGAACTCTTAGTGGCACAGCAAGCATTGGGAGTTGTGGGAGCATCCTGTTCTTCTCAGCTCTTGGGTGACTGGCGACATTCCCCAGACCAGCAAACGACCATGCCAACTCAGCAAGAACTCTTTCTACAACCCTGAAGTTGACGGAAGATTTCTGGATCGAGAATGCCACTGCGCCACTTCGTGCGTATACATGCCTGTGAGCCAGGCAATCGAATTTCTGGGTCGCGGCTTTCCGTGCAGGGCAGCTTCCCTATCTAGCTTTGGCGGAGCCTAAGTAGTCGGAGCAGGATTGGGGAGTCTTACAAAAAGCTAGCGAGGACGGAGGACTTGCTTGTAGCGGTGTCGATGCCCTCACTCCATGGCCTTAGCAGTAAACCTAAATTGAACGAAGGAATCCTTGGATGGCCATGGCCAGTTGCAGAGCTCGAAGAGTCTGCTCGCACTTAGGACAAATCTTCATTCTGCCGCTGCAAATGTCAACACCACGGATGCGAGCATTCAGAAGGACGTCAGCAGCAGCCTGCCACGCGGAATATCCAGGAAGCTTACAGAAGCCCAGCTCCAAGACTCACTGCTTCTGTTTCGGGGAAAGCCCCAAGCAGGCCACCCCCCCCCCCCACCCCCCTTCCCGGAGAGTTCCGAGTCTCAAGCCCTTACCCACTGGCTGCTCTTCGGGGTGGTGACCGGGTGCTAAGAGTTCGCGGCTGCAGCTCGGAATGGCATCAAGGTTCATCAGTCTTTCAGATCCCACGCGTGGTTGCTTGCTCAACAGAAGCCTCCATGATTGCCAATGCTCTTCCTGAGGGTTCTGTCAATTACACTACAATACAACAGACCCCAAAACCCTGCTCTAGAAAAAACAAGGTGCCATAGTAGTTTGGCAATGCTTTTGCGTATCTTCTGTGAGGGAAACGACGTTGCAAGAGCTGGGGGCGCACCGCTGGTCTTCTTCTTCTTCTTTCCAGACCTGTCTGTGCTGCGCACATGGCTTGAGCATGCTTGAACTCTCAATGGCATGGGAACCACGCCGACTGCGCATGTTGCGTCGAAAACAGTGAGCTTCATAATGCAGCTCTGCGACACGCTCTTCTTGGAGGAGGACCTGGCGGTGCCTGGGTGTTGCAGCAGAACTTTGCAGAGCGAGGCTTGCCTTAAAACTTTAAAACACTTTCATGTTTCGAGGCCCGACTCAGAGTTGGACCTCGAAAGAACCGCCATCAGCAGTGCCACCACTAAGGCCCAGGCTGTCCCCATCCTTATCAGCCGGAGGCTTACCTGAAGGACAGTGGCTTCGGTTTACAGGAGAACCTACGGGGGAACACCGAGCTTGAACTAAACGCCTTCTTGAAGGTCGTAGATGTTAACAGGTGAAGGCACCCGTCGGGTCCACTTTTCACTCTCTTCATCTTTCGAAGCCTCAGGCCCTGCTCAGGTTGGCAATCCTTCAAGCTAAAACTTGTAAGCAGCCCAGCCTACCTACAACACCATCACATTTGTGACAGAGAGCGACCAGGCGAGAAATGCAACAAGAAACAACCACGAGACCTCCTCTCGAACTTGCCACCCTGCTTCCTTGAAGCATCAATACCATCCTTCGAGGCCTTGGACGGCTGGTACCTGGGGCTCGCGCTCGCCCCGGCGCGCAAGGAGCCACCCGTCTGAGATCCCTCCTCGGCCTTCAAGGGATCGCCACCTGCCGTGAGGGTTTCGAATCTTTTTTTTTTTACGGGGGTCGTTTTCAAGGGGCTTTCAGCATTCTTGCATCATCATTCAGGGGCTTTGATCGAGGACGCTCGCAACATTGATATGATACACTTGCGTTCGGAAGGAAACTGGGGGGCTTCCATTTCCGCTTGCAGCTCGTTCTTGTTGCCCCCGCGGTGTCAAATCAGCAGTGCGGGCTGATTCGCCAAACAGAGTTGCAAGGATGAGTGAATGTTGAGCCCGGGAAGCTGCAGGAGAGTCTTCATGCACCTCGATCTTTCGTTTCCTGTGAAGGTTCAGCTGTCTTCATGCAGTCAAGAACGTCTCAAAGCTCAGGATCCGACGAGCAGTGTCGGGGAGTTTGCCTGCAGCTTTCAACCGGTCTGCCCGACATCACCAGACTCCGGACAAACCCGAGGTGACATTTGCAGCCTACACCGTTTATCCGCATTGGACAATCGGTGCTCTTGACGTACACTCCTGGCCACCTCACGTTTAACATGCAATACTAAGACATCAGCCCGCAGTAAGATGAAAATTCCCAGCGCTTACATGGGTGCAGAGCTGTGAAAAGCCTTCGTACAGCAACCCCAGCTGTGCTGCAGCCGTGAACACTGCGACGACCCCTTGTGCTCCACACCTGGCGGTGTAGCGTAGAACTTGAATGGACCTGGTGGTGCAAGGCTGCAAGTTATGGCTAAGTAGCTTCCATAACTCTGAGATGTCGCTACATCTTCGACCGATATGGACGGATGAATTGAACTCGAATTCACCTTTGCGGTCCCTTGCGTCATCTACATGTGTGAGGAAGTCAAGGCTAACGTGTCAGCCCAGTTTCACGAGGCATGCGCCCGGGAGTCGGGATTATCACAACAAACGTTGTGCTCCACATTGCATCTGGTGCTAAGGTGGGCGCCGTCCATCGCAGATGTATACCTGGACAACTCACCACTACGAGAATCAGAAAGCAACTACGTGTGCCCGAGGACAGGGAGCCTAAAGTGCGAAGCGTGGAGGCGAAATGGGCCGGGCGGAGGCCCGCACCCGGACATCGGCGGAAGGCCGAAGCCGCCGCCGCCGCCGCCGTAGGCGATCATTGAGGGCGCCGACCTGGAAGCGAGAAGTCAGGGCCTTCAGGGCCTAAAAAGGCCTTTTAAAAAGTACAGAGGCATGACAAGGAAAAAGAAGCACACATTACATCGTTTTATGGGGGAACGCAGCCTGTCGAAGAAGCTCGGGCCAGAAGCCTTGAGTCCTCAAAGCAGCCTTGAACAATCAGGCCGGTCCTTTGGCCGTAGACCCAAGGAAGGTGCTATGCAATGCTGTGCATGTGGGCTGGCTCCCCGGTGTCGTCCCTACGTGAAGATGCAAGAGCTCAGCCTCATCGATTTCGATTCGCTGGCTTCCAATCCATGTGGAACCATCCCGCTCTCGGTATCATGACGGAGCCAAATCAAGGCCCAGCAAGCACGAGCCACGACAAAATGGCAGTCCGAGCTCCTGCACACAAGCTCGCTTCTCTCCACATGAGTCCGTAGGAAATGCCCAAAATCAGGGAGTACTCAAGATGCAACTGAAAGCACGATCCAGAAGAGCATGCTTGTGCCCGCTTGAATCCGCAGCCCAGAAGAAACCATCCTCCTTCTTTCCCTGCGACCAAGCCGCTGTAGGGGGTTCATCGTTGCAGGTGGGACGATCATGGAGGGTGCGGGCTGCAGCGTGGCCCTCAGAGGATCAAGCGTATGGGCTCGGCACTCGGCGCTTTTCTGATTTGGGCAGCAGCAACCATGCTTTCCTGAAGGCCGGACGAGGCTCCGTACGCTGGCAGTTCCTGGCCAGTGCTAAGAAGGGGCTCAAAGGAATCGTCCGGCTGGAAAAAGAACCGAATCCCGGCAAATAGTTCAGACCCAATTTGTGCGTTGGGCCAGCGGGACGCTTTCAAGTCAAAAACGCCCAGCTTTAACATTGCGACTTCTCCAAGCCAGCTGCATACAGCTCGCAAAGCCACACTAGCTTGCTACTTCGGCATCTATATTGGCTACTCGACGATCCACGGACCCAGACCTAAACTCCACTCACTCTTCGTCCAAGCCCGGGCTACACCATGCGCTGAAGATCAAACGATCCCTGCACTCCCGCTCCGTGCGCCTGTGCCGCTGGTGCCTCGTGGAAGGTTTCGACACTCGAATGCTTGAGTCCAACTGCTCACCACACTCCTGAGTCCCAAAGCCTGAGAAAGATCTCTTGGTGAGTCCTGCGACTAGGTTACGCTTAAACTCCTCTGTCCCTCCGCCTCAGGCGGGCCGGGTCGGAAGGACGCTATTACCCCAAAACCCAACGCAAACCCAACAAAGCCCCAAAAAACCGCTACTCCTCTCACTCTCTGCAGCACTGAACCCCAAGGACTCCCCAGGGTCGGGGCGGCTGTGAATGAGCCGTTGCCGTAGGCAGTCGCTGCCGCCATGGCAGGCGTGCCTCGCGAAGCTTTCGATCAACTTCTGGAGCACTGAATGCTAGGATGTTTATGTGGCAACGTAGGGTTTGATTGGGGTATGTTCCTAACGTCGCACACAGACTCCTGCGCGAAGGATCTACTTGTTCTGGCTCCGGTCTTGGATGGAGGATCGGGAAACGTGGGGTTTTGATCGGCAGGCACCGAAAAAAGCTGCCTTTAAGCACATGCTGTCTGTCAAGCACAAAACGGACCCCAAGGTTGCGGCCGTAGGTCGCAGCAGGCATTTCTGTTGCCGGCGCTGCGGCATAGCTGGACCCAGTCACAGGTGCACTTCCGTAGTAGCCGCCATAAGTGTTGCCGTATGCGGGAAGAGCACTCGCATAGGTCGAGGGTGTGTATGCTCCAGTGTATGCTCCGTATGGGGAGCTGGTGCTTGTGTAGGCTGCCCCGCCGCCGGCGATCGTGGGTGTCGAGTAGCTGGAATAGGCGGGAGGCATGTAGGCTGGGGCTGTGCCTGCACTGGTGGTTCCAGGCGTGTACGCAGTGCCGGGGGTGTAGGTGACACCGCCGTAGGTCCCTGGGGTGTAAGTGCTTGCCTGCGCCTTGGCATCAAAGTTGGCATGAAACTGCAGCAACGATAACAGCAGCACAAGTGACGCACGTCCTTTGCCGGGGAAGAGGCAGCCGGCAGCTCACCAGCGGAAGGCAAAGCCGACCCGCCAAGGGTGGTAACCTGTGGTGGGGGCTTCTGCAAATTTTCTGTGTGGTCTCAGGTTTCGAAATCCTTCGACAGACTTGGACAAAAGCTGTGTGGGTCTTCGTCGAAGAGCCAAATCTAAAGCTACTAAAGCTACCGCAGTCCTCGCCCTCGACACTGGAAACCAACTCTGGCCAATAGTGCTTTGCTTTGCCTGCACGGCGCTGTAAGGCGTGGTCTGCGCTTGGTACATGGTCGAGCAACCTGTGGAAGCGAGAAAGGCGGCTGAGCCTAGACGCCATGAACTTTGATATTCGATATCCTCGGGATCCTATGCCAACATTGCCCACCGGCTACAACTGTCGCGCAGAATAGAGAGGCCTGAGTCATCAGAATCGGGTTTTGGAGTATATTCTACTGGCCCCTACATTGAGCCTTTTTCTTTTCTCTGAGGCCCAGACGGAGAGCCAAGCACGCAGCCGAGAGGAGGCGAAGGCACACGAAGGGAAGTCCAGGATGACTCGGGGAAGTGCTGGAATTCGGTTCTGCTGTAAGCCAGGGCATATCAGATTTCCGTTAGGGCTGCGTCATGATTAATCTGGAAGAGTCAATACAGCTGTGAAGACATCTCCGACATTCTGCTCACCTTGAGTTTCAGCGACGTTGTGCAGCAACACTTTGCAGTTCCCTTTCTCAAGGCAGCTGCAAGGCAATAGGCGAAGCACTCAGCGACTGAACTGTGTGGAAAGATGCGCCCTGGTGACTGGTTGCTGGATCACCCACTTGTGCAGGTTCAAGGTTCAAGGCCGGAACCTGCTCGAGATTTCCAGCAAACCTAGAGAGTGCAAGGGACACAGAAAGCAATTTGAGGGGCCCCAAGATAATTGCAGCTCGCAAATCCCAAGCGCTGACAAAACGTCAACAACTCTGCTAAGTGTCGAAGGCTCAGAAGGCCAGACTAAGACACCCTGGAAAGGAGAAGAAATCTTTGGCATGTGAACTCCGCAGGCTGAGGAGACTTCTGTGGCTACCGTGCCCCATGACCAGGGCTTGCAACCACGAAAACCTGGCATCTACGTAGCGCAGCTGAGCCCAATGTCCAAACTGAGGCTGTTGTGTAGCAGGGCACCAGTCTTCGGTCTGGCACTACACAGCTCATCCATCTGCTAGGACTGACCCAAAGCTGCATCCATGCATCCATGCCATCTCTGCATAGGCTATTTTCGAAGTGACAGCTCGCGGAACGGTCCCAACGAAACTGAAAGGCACCGAATTCTGTATACGGAGATTTTTTAACTAGAACCATTCCAAAACAGTCATGAAGTCAACATGCCACCAACTGATAGTTCTCTGGCGGCCAAGTATCCAAATCCCGAAACGAAAGAGGCACAGCTACCCAGAGCCTCGACAATCCTTAATCCATGAATGCTTAACCTCTATAACGTAACAATGTGCTAAAATCGGCCTTTTTGCGG